CCTCAAGTGATCCACCTGCCTCAGCCTCCCAAGGTGCTGGGATTACAGGCATGAGCCACTGCACTTGGCCATGGGTAGGTTTCTTTTAAAATCACATTGTCATGCCAGAATTTTCTCTCCTCCTACTTGACAGGATCTCTTAGAACCCAGAGAGCCTGTCTATTCTCTGTTCTCTCAAACTGCCTGAATCGTCAGGACTTCTTAATTCAGCATGTTTACAATCAGCCTGTAGACCAAAGTAGTTCTGCAATTGCTGAAATTCCCTTTACCTCTGAAATTTCTCTTCCAGTGACCTCGCCGATATGCATATAGATACTCTGATTGCTTTTTCGTCTCATCACACAGTACTTCCTTAACTGAGACAGATGGCTCACTGTTGTTGCCGTCACCCCTCCCTCCGGAACCATACCTCTCTGAAGCCATCGGGCTCTCTCCCAACTCAGGGCCCCTCGGAATCGTGAGCTCAACCTCCGACCCCTGAAGACCGCACTACCCATCCCACCCCTGCCTGGTTTCAGAGGTGGCCCTGCTGCCTGGAAGTGTCCAGCCGCCTCTCAGGGGCGTGCACGCCCTCTGCATCCTCAGCAAGCGTTCGCCTCACCTGTCTTCTCAGTTCCCACACCTCCACCCAAAGGAGGAACGCTCAGAACTGTGGGAAGAGCTGCCCCAGGAATGTGGCATGCCAGCAGCACCAATGAGTGTGAGCAGCCTGGCACACACGTCGCGTCTTCGGCCTGAAAGCACTTCATGAGCATGCTCATCCCCTTCACTGTAGACCTGGGGGAGCAAGGGCAGTGTCAGCCTGGACTAGCGGAGCTACAGAATGAGACGTGGCCCTGCCTTGGAGCCATGCTGCCCGACGCCAGCCCGTGGGCCCCTGCCCAGCTGGAGCAGAAGCGCCCCTGGATAGCCCTGTTCCACCCCAGAGGTGCAGACTCCATGCTCTGGGGCAGCAGCTGGGAATGTGTTCTCTCAGACTCTACTGTGAAGCTCCGGGCAGTGGCTGCCCCCACAGGCACCCCCACGGGGGCTCATAGCCACGAGGCACTAGGGTGGCTCTTGGGGCCTGGGGCTCCTTCAGGCAGGGATGGCACCAGCTTTGCCCTGAGCCCCTGTTCTAGCTTTGCTAGCTTTCAGCCAGTGACTTCGTGCCTCTCAGCTTGCATTTCCCCATCTATAAAACTGGGATCAGTGTATGACCCCCCACGCTGCCAGGGCCGTTGTAAGAAGTACAGAGCCCCATCCCCCGTCCCTGTGCCGGGCCTGTGCAGAGGGCTTCGTCCAGCGACCTGCATTGCCAGCATTCGTGTCTGCGTCACCGTCAGCTCCTTGGCCATCTCACCATCCTCTGTGGGAAAGGGGCCACGGCAGCTCCAGGAGAACCTCCAGAACCTTCCCACGCACCCAGGTCTGAGGAGGGAGGGGGCTGGTGGACTGAGACACCTCAGCCTCCCCCGACGGGGAGTTCTCTTCTGCAGCACCCAGGACCGAGAGCACCGCGACCCCAGGTGACACTTCCTTCAGGCTTGGTTTGTAACTAATGGGCAGCTGGTTAGAGTCACCATGTTGCTTTCACAGAATAACACCTAGGACTGACTTTTCCGAAAGAAAAGTTTGTATGATTTATCTAGGAAATGCAGTTTGCGGAAACATGACTTTGAGAAATAGCAGCACACGCTTTTACAGGTGTTTCTTCTCCTCAGCCAAGCAGCCGGCAGTCTCTGTGTTATTCTTAGACCAAAAGTGCCGCTGGATAATCCTCTGGGAATCCCTTTTTAAGAGTTTCTCACACATGAATCCAGATCCTCGATATAAAATTAACAGGAACATTTCTTAAATACTCCGCTTCCTCCCAAGATAGAGCAGCCAGCAGCTGATGCTGGCATCCTCAGCCCTGGCTGTGTCAAGATCCAGTGGGAAAATTCACTGTCCAAGTCTCTGAAATGTACGGTATTTTTATCTGTGTTGGATCAGACATCCCGTGTCCTTGTGAGGTGGCGCCCCCGGAACGTGGGTCTCATTCCAGTCCCCGCTCCCCGAGCTGCGCAGAGGCAGGGATGGGTAGGAGACACCCACGGCTCCATCTTCAGAGAGTGTTTATGCAGAGACTGTCGACTGAGAATTCGACCGTGAGCAAAGGTGGATTTGTCACCGCTGCAGGCTAGCTTGTCTTGTAGCACAGCTGCCGTCCTCTCTGGACTCAGACCCCACAGAGGGAGTGTTTGCACACACTTGACTTCCGTAGGCTGCGAGTGAGCCAGGGTCCCGGGGGTGTACATGCTGAGAAGGGCACTGTGTCCTGGAGGCAGGCCAGGGCCCACTGAGGCCGCACTCACCCTCCGGCGCGCATCTCCAAACCCGGCCTCTGCCAGCGCCATGCCTTCTGTGTTCACCCTTCCTAGTGCTGCGCTCTCTCAGATGATGGCAGGGGCCATGCAGAAAGGACCCGCCCTGGTCCTCCTCTGCCCCCGTCCCAGCCGCACCCCGCAGCCCCTGCTTACTGAGCTCCCCATCCTCACACCGCACCACAGGCAGGCCGGTCAGCAGGTCACCTCCCTGAGGGACGTGCCGCTCACTTCCAGAGCCTCAGCCCCCACCCAGCACAGTCAACGCTGATAGATGTTTGTTGAACAATTAGGAAGTGGGCAGCTAGAGGACGCTTCCCCCCCCCAGCCACGCCCTGTGGTCTCTGCACCAATCCGAGAGCATCTCCTGAGCCAGGAGTGTGCCCATTTCTCACGGGAGCTCCAGCAGTGGGGGAAAGTCAGTTCTGTGACAGCAGCCATGTGAGAGCAGGTCTCATCTTGCCCCAGGGGCTGCGTGAATTCATGCCACAGGCTGGATCAGTTCCCTTCCCAGAAGGGTGGGCAGAACAGAGGGTTCGTCAGGAGCCACAGTCTCCCGTGGGTACTTCCGTGCAGGGTGGCAGGGGTGGGTGCTGCACAGACCCTGGGCAGCTGAGCAGGACGCCTGGGGGCTCCTGAGTCACCAGCCCCAGCCCAGCAGTGCTCGTGAGCATCTGAGCGTGTGTGGGTTTTGCTGAAGGCTCCATTTCAACTCCAGAAGTTTCTGTCTTCCCCGTCACCTCCCACTGTTTTTCCAGACATTCTGAGAAGGCGCATGTTAAGTTTAGAGTGGAAAAGTTTCTTTTCTCTTTTTAGACTTTTGAAGGGATCATATGTCTCTCAGGTTTTGTGGGGTGGTTGTGTGTGCCTAGGGCAAGCTGAATAGTTTAATATCAAAACAAAACAAGCTCAGAAAGAGCATGTATTACTCTTGTCATTTAAAAAATAGGAACATTGTTTAAAGACTAGTTGTGGTTCCATTTCCCTGCTCTTTGCGTTTTGAAGGGAGGAGCAATGTGGAAATGCCAGTGACACCTGAGTGAAGTCTTTAGGGTGGTTTTGCTTCCCTTGGTTTTCTGTTGGCTGAATTGCAGGTACAAGGTTCCTAATTTCTAAGTGACTGATTAAAAGCTGTGAGGCAGTGCAGGGCCCCGTGTGGGTGCAAGCCTGCAGGATGGGGTTCTGGCTGGCTGGAGCGCAGCCGGGATGGGCCGGCGTTCAGGGAATGGCTTGTGCCCGCAGCATCAGTGGACGCCTGCATGGAGCAGCTGGCCCTGTCCTCCTGACACAGAGGAGGTTGTCCCGGCACCATCAGGCCCCTTCTGAACACACACAACCTCTGGGGTCCAGAACCCAGCAGGACCTGCGGCCCCACACTGCGCATTGCGCTCAGAACAAAGCAGCCCCGGAGCACCCAGGCCATCGTGAGGTCCTGTCGGCAGACGAGCAGCGCACGCTCTGGCTTGCCGACAGCTGGTCTCCAGATCCACAGAAAACCCTATTTCAAAATCAAAGCAAAACCACTTCCTCCGTTTGTGCCAGGCTCAAGCTGGCACAAAGCTTTTTCCATGGTAGAATTTCAAGTCCTGCAGGTGTCTGTGGCTGGAGGCTCAGAGAGCCCAGGGTCTCAGCTTCATCCGCAGACGGCTGCATTGAAGGGGTTGTTTGGAGCCTCGTGCTGCCTGCTAGGCTCTGCCAGCTGTGCACCACCCTGCTTCCCACCTGCCAGGAGCAGCCGCCCCTCCCCCTGCCAGTGCCAACTCCTGGGAGCAACCGTCCCCTCCCCCACCAGCGCCCTCTCCCCAGGGCAGATTGTGGCCACGTCTGTCCTGGAGATGAAGGTGTCTGGTCAGTGCAGCGTGCCCGGCACTACCCGTACACACCCATGAGGAAGGACCACCACAGCCCCTCAGCAGGAGGGTGTTCAGGGCAGTCTTGAGTTCCAGGCCCCATCACAGCCCAGGCGGCAGAGCCCTTCTGCAACGGGAGAGAACCCAAGCCCCCCGCCATCATTCCCTGACTCTCCTGTGCCCTGGGCGGCTTCCGTGGCCTCCTGAGGAACACGGGGGGCCTCGGGCTGCTAGCAGTTTTCCACCCCGTGCTCACTAGCCAGGTCCCTGACCCTCCAGGAACACCACTGCCACCTGGCTCTGGAAAGAGCATGGATGGCAGATTCCTCCCCAGGCCTCAACTCAGCTTCTGACCCGAGAGCTGAGGTGTTGAGGGAATTGGACTCAAAGCCGGAGCGGTGCAGAGGCCCGGCCTCAGGCGAGGGGGAGGACGCCGAGGCTGCCTGGGAGTCGCCCCCCAGCAGGGAAGGTGAGGAAGGTGGGCCACTGTCCTCAGAGGCTTCAGGCCCTGACCCCCTCAGGAGCCTCAGGCAGAACTTCCTCCCCAGGTGCCCTGGTCCACACAGCCATGCCAGGCTTGCCCACCAGGTGCCACTCCTGGAAGAGGAAAGAATGTCACTTGAGCTCCAGGGCTGCATTTGGGGGAAATCCAGCTGAGGCCTTCCATTGGTGTTGGCAGCTCCTCAGCCAAAGGCCTCTTCTGCAGCTCGGAAACAGCTCCATGCAGCCGTCAGCCTCACTTTGTATGACGGCCTCCATGGAGCATGTCCGATCTGACCTTCACGCCCCATGCCTTTGCCTCTAGGCCACCGTGAACACCCGGCCGCAGCGCATCCTGGACACCTCCTCCCTCACGCAGTCGGCCCCCGCCAGCCCCACCAACAAGGGCGTGCACATCCACCAGGCGGGGTAAGTGCCACCCGCACAGCCTGTGGTCTGTAGTGGTGGCTGGGGTCCCACGGGCTAGGCTCTCCCTGAGCCTCCTCCTCCCTGCCCTGGCTTGCTTCATCCCCTCCACCCTCCCTAATGTGCGTTCTTTCCCACTCCTTCCCCACACACCCCACACCTGCTTGATCAGAGCCCTGGCGTGAGCTCTTCCCCATCTTGAGGAACCCTTCCTTTGCACATGGTCGCAGCAAAAGTTGAACTAAGCCTGCTGTCTGTGGCCTTTCAGAGTCCATAAGAGGGCATCTAGATCTGCAAGTTAGAATGTAAGAGGATCTAGATCTCAGAGTCAGGATCCATTAAGAGGCTCTAGATCTCCGGCTCAGAGTCTGTAAGAGGATCTAGATCTTCGAGTCAGAGTCCGTAACAGGATCTAGATCCCCGGGTCAGTGTCTGTTAAGAGGATCTAGATCTCCGAGTCAGGATCCATTGAGAGGCTCTAGATCTCTAGCTCAGAGTCCATAAGAGGATCCAGATCTTCGAGTCAGAGTCCGTAAGAGGGTCTAGATCTCCGGGTCAGTGTCCATTAATCCGAGTCAGTGTCAAGAGGATCTAGATCTCAGAGTCAGGATCCATTAAGAGGATCTAGATCTCCAGGTCAGAGTCCATAAGAGGCTCTAGATCTCTGGGTCAGAGTCCGTAACAGGATCTAGATCTCCGAGTCAGAGTTTGTAAGAGGATCTAGATCTCCAGTTCAGAGTCCGTAAGAGGATCTAGATCTCCGGGTCAGTGTCTGTTAAGAGGATCTAGATCTCCAAGTCAGAGTTTGTAAGAGGATCTAGATCTCCAGTTCAGAGTCCGTAAGAGGGTCTAGATCTCCGGATCAGAGTTCCTAAGAGGGGATCCAGTTCTCTGAGTGGGCGACCAACAGGTGTTCGCACCTCAGGGCATGGCACCATTGTTTGTGACCTCACGAGTCCCGGCCCACCCAGCTCTGATCTTGGTTTGTCCTGCCCGTGCGTCCTCCTGGGCACTGGACTTCAGTGAGGGACGACCCTGCCCCCTGCCAGGCAGGCAGCTGAGCAGTATGGACTTGGCACCAGCAGCTGGGGTTTGGGGGTCACGATGGCATGCCACGTGGCAGAGGGTGGCCTGGGCCCTGGCGGCACCTGGGAGGGCGTGGGTGGCACAGGAATTTGTTCCACGTTGCCTCTCAAAGCTCCAGACTCTGCAGGGAATGCAGTGTGTGTTTCTCCCCCAATGCCAGGGGCTCCCCTCCAGCGTCCAGCACCAGCAGCTCCAGCCTGACCAGTGATGTGGCCAAGCAGCCAGTCAGCCGAGATCTGCCTCCTGGCCGGCCGGGCACCACAGCCCCCGGGGGGGCGCAGTACACCCCTCACTCCCACCAGTTCCCCCGGACCCGGAAGATGTTCGACAAGGGCCCAGACCAGGTACGGAACCCCGGCTGCCTCATGATCTGGACACTGAGCATTGCTTCTCAGATGGCTGCTCACGCCACGCGGGACAGGGCAGGTCTGTGGGCCGCTCTCTGCCTTTTCAGATCCAGGCGCTGGCCCTTGCTGGCGCTCCCCTCTGCCTGCGCTCTGCAGGAATGTTGCCGGGTGTGTCCCGGTTCTCCAACCCTGCTTCTGGGTTCACCGTACCTAGAGCTCCCGTGTAACAAAACGGGGGCCTGGAGTTCCCTGGTGCTCCCCTTCCTGGGTACACAGCACTCTGCGTCCCCTCGGCGGCAGCTGCGCCACAGAGCGTGTATTCTGTGAACATCCAGGTACGCTGCTGCATAAATAGGTACACTCTCTTTGCCTTTAAAGTTGAAAAAGAAACTTCTGGAAAGAGGAACGTGCTTAGATTTGCTGGGGTTGTGAGAGCGGCGTGAGGCAGGGGGTAGTCTGGAGACCTCGGCTGTCTCGCCCAGGTGTTGCTGCTTTGTCAGTTCAGGGCCCGGGGGCTCGGGAAGATGGCTCAGGGCGCACCCGCACCCCAGCTGCTCTGCGTACAACAGCCTGAGAGCTCAGCAGTGGAGTGGGGTCCGGGGCTCGCGTGATGACCCCGTGATTTTAAAAGAAGTTGGCAGCCGCCTTGCAGGTGACTTGGGGCCTGCATGGCCATGTTAGGGTAGAAGGGCCGTCACGGCAGGAGTGGGCAGGTCCCCAGGGGTGCCACTCAGCCCTGGCCCACCGGGACTTTCCATGCCTCAGCAGCGGAGGAACGAGAACCACCGCTGAGCCGCACGTGCAGGGTCAGCCTCCGGGCCAGGCCCTGATGGGGGCAGGAGGCCGCCGCGGTCCTGGGGAGCAGCGTCACCGGCACATGCAGCTCCCCCACCTGCCCCCGTCCTGGCCATGGCTCTCACTGTGGAGCCAGAGCAGCTGCCCGGGGGTGGGGGATGTGCCTCTCACTGCGCCTGCCGTGAGATGATGGGGTCCTCCCTGGGCCAAGACACGGCATGAGAGACGCCAGCAGGCCCACCCCATGCTCATGGCACAGCACGGGAGACCCCTGGTGCTCAGCCTCACTGCATGAACACACACGACTCTAACAGGCCTGGCTGCTGCAGGTCCCACAGCAGGAAACACCCAGTAGCTCCATGTCTTCTTTCTCCGGTGGCAGGGAGCCCTAGCCGGCCTGCACAGCTGCACTCCACCCAGGCTGCTTCACACGGGAGTCCCTGCTCAGCCTAGTGTCGTAGGGCTGTTGCAGGAGCCTTCGTGAGACCCAGCGGCAGAGGCTTTTTGGGTTGATGAACTGGTGCACACAGACCCACATGGCACTGTCTAAGCAGCCAGCATCGGCTTGGGAGCTGTGCTGGGTCGGCCCTGGGGGTGGTGGGCAGACACAGCTCACTTTACAGCCTGGGACCCTCAGTCCCCAACCAGACACTCAGGGGTTCTCGGTCACCAGGATACGGAAAGTGAGCAGAGCGCAGAAGCGCCGGCCTTAGGGGCCGCCCGGTGCTCCTGGCAACGCCTCTGTCCCCTGCGGGAGCTCTTTCGAGCTCAGGAGTGGCATGACTGACTGGTGTTTCTTTTTCCTTCCAACCCTCCTACTCAACAAACCCCGAAGACTGCAGATGACGCAGATGATGCTGCTGGACACAAAAGCTTCGTCTCCGCCGCAGTGCAGACAGGCTTCTGTGACTGGAGCGCCCGCTATTTCGCCCAGCCTGTCATGAAGGTGCGTACGGGCATAGGGTTCAAAGCCGAGTCCCAGCCAACATGTGTCCCTCCCACCTCGTTACTCAAGGCTCAGGGCTGTGGGAGCATCGTGTTGTGGTCGTGGGTAACAGACTTCATGTACCTTCCTGTCGCCGGACAAAAAGAAAAAGCCTGCCTGGTCGGAGCTTGCCGCTATGACAGGTGTCACTTCGCCGTTACAAGGTCACAGCAGGCCTTCCACTCCCGAATGGTGAGGATCGCGAGAGGCCCGTCCCCAGGCCACACTTGGGTGGCTCAGAGGTTTGGGGACTATTAACCAAGCCTCCTGTATCCGACCCCAGCACATTTGGGGTTAACACCACAAGACTGTCTCTGAGGCTCAACCCTCACACAGCCCTAAGCAGCGGCGTGTGCTGTGGATGCCGTGGCTGTGTGCCCACGGGCTGGGGCAGGGCGGCGGCTCTGGGCCTCTGTGAGGGATGGGTGGGAGCTGCTTTGTCAACACAGTCCTGGAGTTCATCCCTCTACCGAGGTCCAGCGGGGACTCGTGTAGATTTTCTATAAATCTAAAGTGCATTCGAGAAAACCTTCCTCTTCCCTCATACATAATTGAAAACTGAAACTCAGCTTATTCCTGATTGTATATCAAGCTCACATCTTAGCAATCTCCGCGAATGGTGTTTGGCGCCCAGGACAGCTCAACTCCTGTGTTCCGGTCCTCATAGTGAACACCGATTTCTGTTCATAAAAACGCAGAATCAGGCAGCCCCTAGGCAGGCAGGTTATAAAAAGCTACTGAGCCCCTTTACTGCAGAAGAGAGGAGTTCGCTTCTCACTCCTCGGATGTGCCTGGGTGTCAGTGCCCGGCCTCACTGACAGCATCTGGCCAGTGAGCATCAGACGCCTTCAGTAGCCACCCCCTTCGACCCGGCCGTGACTCTGCTCAAATACTCTCTAGAGAAAAGAATCCAGACACAGATGACTTCTGTGTTATTTATAAGAGTGAAAATTGAGATTCACTTAAATGTCCACAGAGGGTGAATAGTTAAAAAGTTATGAAATATTTGATATTATTGGGGCTGTTGAAAAGTTAAACATAAGCTGGGCGCGGTGGCTCACACCTGTAATCCCAGCACTTTGGGAGGCTGAGGCGGGTGGATCACGAGGTCAAGAGATCGAGACCATCCTGGTCAACATGGTGAGAGATCGAGACCATCCTGGTCAACATGGTGAAACCCCGTCTCTACTAAAAATACAAAAAATTAGCTGGGCATGGTGGTGCGTGCCTGTAATCCCAGCTACTCAGGAGGCTGAGGCAGGAGAATTGCCTGAACCCAGGAGGCGGAGGTTGCGGTGAGCCGAGATCGCGCCATTGCACTCCAGCCTGGGTAACAAGAGCGAAACTCCGTCTCAAAAAAAAAAAAAAAAAAAGAAAAGTTAAACATGAAAACTAGTGTCCTGAGGAAGTGCTCATGATGACATTCTTTAGGCGGAAAAAATGCAGGCCCAGAGCCCAGATCTGCGGAACGGTCATAGCTGCAGTTCCCATGCGCAGAACACTGTGCACAGGATGAAGACCAGAAGAGCCCGCTCTTAACTAGAGATTCGCAGATGCCGCCATCGCAGCGGCGCTGAACCTGGGCTGCTTTTGTGCCTCCTGTGCAGCTTCTGCACTAAGCATGAAGCACCTCTAGAGTCGGGGGAAGGGTGTTAAAGAAACAAGCCCTGGGACATCACTGAGGCCGGTGGATTCGATCCAGGTCAGCAGGCCTCCCACTTACCTGCGGGTGGCACAAGGCTGGCGTCCCCTGCAGACAGAGGGAAGGGCCTCTTCCCATCACTAGGATGCTTCCGGTTAGGAAGGAAAGAGTAAGCGAATCCTGGGATTGGAGGCAGTAAGCAGGAGCCACCCAAGCTGTAAGCGAGCCGGAGCTGGGAGGAGGCTGGACACTGCGCAGGGGGTGCCAGGCTGTCCTTTAGAACTGCGGCACAGTCTGTTTAAATGGAATTTAGCCTAATATTAACAAGCTTGGTTCCCTTGATGCAGTCTCGCGCTCAAGGCAGACAAGGTCAGGTGACTAAGAAACCCACATCTTCTGTTCTCCTCGTTGCTGGAATGGCAGTGGCTGTAAATTGTGCTGATTTCTTGGTCTGCTCATGAGAGGCTTTTCTTGAAGTCCTTGACAAATGCGTATTCTCAGTCACCTATTCTGTGAGGAAGAGGAATGGCGTAGATAATCCAACTGATTGCTGTTGTGGTTGTGGCGTTCACGGTTAAGGTTAGGGTAGAGCCGCAAAAGAAACAGACTTCATGTACCTTCCTGTCGCCGGACAGAAAGAAAAAGCCTGCCTGGTGGAGCTTGCTGCTGTGCACGTGTGTGTCTGTGTATGTCTGAGTGGTGCATGTGTGTCTGTGTGTGTCTCTCGTGTGTGTGTGTGCTTCTGTGTGTCTATGTGTGTGTTTCTTTGTGTCCCTGTGTGTGTATCTGTGTGTGTTTCTGTGTGTCCCTATGTGTTTCCATGTGTCCCTGTGTGTGTCTGTGTGTTTCTGTGTGTCCCTGTATGTGCGTGTGTGTTTCTGTGTGTCGCTATGTGTCTGTGTGCTTCTGTGTGTCTGTGTGTGTGTGTTTCTGTGTCCCCGTGTGTGTGTCTGTGTGTGTTTCTGCGTGTCCCTATGTGTTTCCATGTGTCCCTGTGTGTGTCTGTGTGTGTGTGTTTCTGTGTGTCCCCGTATGTGCGTGTGTGTTTCTGTGTGTCCCTATGTGTCTGTGTGCTTCTGTGTGTCCGTGTGTCTGTGTGTGTGTGTTTCTGTGTCCCTGTGTGTGTGTCTGTGTGTGTGCTTCTGCGTGTCCCTGTGCGTGTGTCTGCGTGCGCTTCTATGTGGCTGTGTATGTCCCTGTGTGTGTGTGTGTGTCTGTGTGTGTCTATTTGTTCCAGTGAGTGCAAGCCCCAAGCCAGTTCTCCTCTCCTTCTTCAGATTAGCAGCCCCCCCACCGCCCTCATCCTCCTCCATTTGCACACCTGAGGGTTCCCACCCACACGGAGGAGCTGGAGGGTGTCAGCCTTGTGGTCTAGCCCTGCCAGCGGGTCCTGTAGTGTGGACTCTGCAGAGGTTAATCCGGGTGTCCATATGGCAGCTGCCGGCAGACGCGAGGTTAGTCGGAAGATGGTTGATGAAGGAGTAAACGCCGTCTTCCTCTGCCCCTGCCAAGTATTTGAAAACAAACGCTCACTTAGTCATCACTTGAGACGGCAGGCTCTGGGTGTCATGATGGAAAGGAGCGCCCTGCCGCGGTCGGCGGCGTCTGTAGCTCCCAATGGCAGCTACAGTCTTAGGGTTTCTTTCACATCACAGACCTTCTCTGAACTTAGCAGAGGAAGCAGGACATGTTTTATCCTGTTTTAAAAAACATCGCTTTCCCCCTTTTCTAGGTGGTATTCATAAAGGTGTTTGTGGTTTCCTTAATCATCTAATGACATCTGGGTAACAAGCTGCCCTGGGAGCGGTTTGTATGAAGCCCGCTTCACATGTAAACTGAAAACAGCTCTAAGGCTAGGATTGAACCTCAGAAGGAACACCAGAACTGCAAACCCTAAGCTGCTTCAAGGCATATCAGAAACTAACATAGTTACCAGGTCACAAATAATAACCAGCTTACACTAATGTGCAAGTAATGATGAGTAGGTTGAGCCTCCGAAGACACCGTGGTGAGGACCGTTGCTGCTGACTTTTTTATTAGTTCGGATTTCTTACAGCTCTAAGTGACCGGAAGGAACCGGGCTCTGCGTGTGGCTCAACCTTGATTCATGAAGCAACCTCGTTTCTCCCTGTGTTGGTTCACAGAGCTCATGTCTGCATTAGAAACCACAAAGGAATATTCAAAATGGTCTGTCATATGCTTCAGAAAGAAACAGATGTATTGAATTGTGTTCTGATTACAAAAGTAATATGACTTTTTTCTTCTCTCAGTTGGAAAGTTTCAAAGGTTGATTCTACCCAGAGCCTGGTTTCCAGGGCTGTGGGAGGTGTGGGCTCTCACATGCTGCTGGGCGGGTACACTGTTCCCTTTCCTTAGGGCCATGAGGCAGTAACTGTCAGAGTTAGAAATGGCTGTCCTGCAAAGCCAGCGCTCCTGCTGTGAGACACACATTCTGAAGCCACGAACACACACGTCCATGTGGTGCCTCTGCCCAGAGGGCTTCATGACAGCGTGGCCTGTAATAGCGAAAAGTTGAAAAGAAATTACACGGTAGGATACTTAATTTAAAATGATGCATTCAGGCGCTGGAATACTATACAGCCATTAAAATTCTTCAGTTGTGTCTTTCTGTGAGGACTTGGTTGACTGTCCTTGATCTAAAAGATGAAATAAATTGTACAAAAAGCTCGCACAAGCTCTGCGGTTCTGCAGACTGGAACAAGCACGGGAGGAGACCTGGGCAGTCACACAGCAAGCTGGTCATGCGACTTCTGCAGGGCGGGACCGGAGCCCGGCACAGGGACCCTTCTTTCGTTCATCGCATACCGCTGGGTTATTTGAATTTTTTAGAAAAAATAGTTATTAGTTTTACAATTTAAAACAGCCTAAAATACCATTTTTAATCATAAAAAGCTTTGAGCGTCGGCACGTTGTCGTGAGGCGTCGCGTGGGAGCCCAGCTCCTTGGCGCACAGCCCTTAAAGCCGCAGCTGGGATTCACGCCTGGCCGCTCCGCAGAGAACACGGATCTTGTTTTGCCGTCAGCAGGCTCGAGGGTGGATGTGGGAGCCGCGCTGCCCGTCATCACGTCTGCGCGGCCGTGAAGCTGGGGTTTCCGTGCACCGCGAGGACCTCAGACAGTGAGGGAGAGACTTGGACCCACAGTCCCCGCGCAGGGGTTCCCTCCCGCCGCTGGGATGACTGCACGTGCAGCTTTGCGCCCCGCGTCTCGCTCACGCAGTGAGCATCCTGTCAGATTCTCCCGCAAAAATGACTTCTTCTGTTGGGTTTTGTTTCTTTGTTTGTTTGTTTTTCCTTTG